AAAACATTTCCTGACCTGTTTGACACTTATAAATCTGAAATAGCTAAATTTAGAAACTAAATGACTACAATTCACCAGCATTTCAAACAAGTAGAAATTGTTCTTCAGAAGTCATACATAAGTACACTTTAATACTTTACCCTTAACACATTCTTATACTCTTAAGAGTTTAATTCTTAAAATGCAAACCCACTTTTGGGATCAAATTAGAACGTACATTTGACTCTGTATAATTAAACTAAAAATTGAAAGCTTCCAGAATTTTAAGGTACAGAAAAGATGCCAACAGGTCAAAGTTTAAAAGAAAAAAAAAAACAAATAAAAATCTTCTTTTTAAGAGAAAAGAAGAAAGGAAGCCAATATGTCATGTTTAAAAGAAAAACAAAAGAACAAAACTTCCTTTTTAAGAAAAGTAAAAGGAAAAAATTGCTACCTTTAAGGTTATCATTTTTATTCTACATTTTTAGACCAAGAATGTCCCATAATTTCCATGGCTATCACATTTCAAATACTTACTCAGGGCACTTCTATTCACCCACAGGCTCTTCTCTTTCCCCCATCCCCAGGGTGAAGCAACACCCTACACCCTCATGAACTGGCTGCACATTACCTACCATTAGATGATGAAATAGGCAGCACAGGACAGCTCCCACATCAAGGTCTTCCTCAGGCGGTGGCCTAACATCACCTTCCCTGGCTGGGATACCTTCACAATGGCACCACCCAGGGGGATGAAGCCAGATCTTCTACCTTCCCCAAACTGCACTTTCCCTAAGTCAGTTCAAGTGCACCAACTCACTAGAAGAGACTAGATGCAGATTAGGTAAGTTACAGGTACACAGTGTCATATTACTCAATTATCTTGGCATCAAATTCAAACAATGACCTAAGTTCAGTATCTTTACCCCCTGCAATCAAGTCTCTCTTCAACCCTATGGTCAGGGTTGAGCCCTTTTTTATTCAAATACCAGGTTTTGCTGTTGTTGTTGTTTTTAAGGAATCCTTTTCAGGAGGGCTCTACCCAACCCAAAATTCAAGCCCAAAGACCAACATAGCTGCCATATAGTGGTCTTTGCTCATAAAAATGTCCTGATTACCTTTCTTTCCCAGATTATTTCAAAGTGTATTTTTAATATCTACTGGCACAGAGTTCTCTTTCATTCTTTTTTTTTCACATAATATGTATTCAATATAAAAAAAGAAAAAAGTCAAGGATAAACAAAAATTATTTATTCTGGAAATCTACCATGCAGAAATAATCACTGACGATATATTGGTACATATGATAACTTTATTATATTTTTCCAAATATATATTTTAAACAAAAATAGGCTGATATCGTCCATACTGTTTTGAATCCTGCTTTTTGTATTTCATAAAATGTCAGTAAAATTTTCCTAATAAATTTTATTCTACAGTTCTTTTGGGCTATTTACAGTGTCCTCTACTTCTAAAATTCTTAGGAGCTCTAAAATTTCTTCTGTTTTCTTTCCTCCTTCTCCCTCTCCACACATTCTCCAATAAGAACAGCACAACTAAAAGGCAACAGCCTTCATTCAATTAATACATCCTAAACACTTTCAGAGAACTCACAATTGTGCTGTCTTCCATTTTTCATAGCCATGATTTCATTTATATCTTGTATTTGTTAGATGATTATGAAAAAATAACTACACCTGGCCCATCAAGCTGCCAAGTCTATGGTGTGTCTCCTCCACAATCCATCACATGTAATTCAAAATGAAAATAACACCAAATGAAATAAGGATAAGAGTCACAAAAAGGTATGACTTTTTTCCCTATGAATATTATTTGTTTTTTAAAATTATAAAACTCTAAATTGTTTAAATTTTTTCTTTTTGTTGGTGTCCCTTGCTAATGCTCAAACAAATGCTTAGACTGCCTATTAAGCACTATTCCCAGGGATTGAGAAAGGAAAAGGCTTTTGTTCTAAGAAGCAATAGGAGATTGAATGCAGGTTCTAAAATCTGTACACAATCAAAATCCCATACCTAAGTTTACAGACTTTAGTCAGGCACATTTTAAAAAGAAGAATATTAACTACCTTTTCAAAGTTGTATTATTTACGTGGAATTTTTGTAGCAAATGCTTTATGCTATGTTTGAAATCATACAAAGTTTACTGAGATATTTGACATGCTTTCATTGGGTGAATAAGTCAATGATATCAGTAACATTAAGTGATTTTATGGAGGAATTTCAAGTGACTTATTTGTCAAATCTTCACACTTTATTAAGAGAGACAATTTGCTTCCCAAAAATTGAATGTCGAGAAGTATCAACACATTGATGATAATGATAGTAGTTAAGAACTTGGGCTCCAGAGTCAAACTGGCTTACATCCTGACTTTCACTAGCTGTGGGATCTATGCCTCTATAACTCAGTTTCCTCATGAAAAACATACCTTCTTCACTGAGTTATCGTGACGATTATATGACTTAATACATAGAAAGTGCTTTGAATAATGTATTTAACCTTCAGTAAATGTTACCTTATATTATCATTATTCATCACTTAAATAGTATACATTTTTTCTTTTTTGAGACAGAGTCTCACTCTGTTGCCCGGGCTAGAGTGAGTGCCGTGGCGTCATCCTAGCTCACAGCAACCTCACACTCCTGGGCTCAAGCGATCCTACTGCCTCAGCCTCCCGAGTAGCTGGGACTACAGGCATGCGCCACCATGCCCGGCTAATTTTTTCTATATATATTTTTAGTTGTCCGATTAATTTCTTTCTCTTTTTAGTGGAGACGGGGTCTTGCTCTTGCTCAGGCTGGTCTTGAACTCCTGAGCTCAAACAATCCGCCCGCCTCGGCCTCCCAGAGTGCTAGGATTACAGGCGTGAGCCACCGCGCCCAGCCAGTATACATTTTTATAAAAGGCTCAAAACCTAACTTCCCACCTCTTTCTCCTCTTACCAATGAATATACTCTCATACAATCACAAAAAGGTATATCGTATTGACTTATAATTTTCAGATAAACTGTTTTATGCCGATTTTCTGTAAAAAATCAACTGGAGTTTAATACTTAACACTTTACATAACTTACCTATCCTATTTTTCATTAAATTGCCAGCATATTATAAGATATTGCTTGTATATATATCCACTTACCAGTATAAATACAAACTAAACAGTACTTATATATACTAAACAGTATGAGTCTCCAGGAAATCACAATGCTTTAAAAGGAAATAGACAATGAAAGCTGGAATTGGAAGTAATACTAACAGTGTTTTTAAATTTAAATATCATAGCTCACATATTTTTAATTTAAAAAAGACATCTAAATAATATTTTTACAATTTACAAATAAAACAAACTATCTTAAACCATGCTATAAGGGTTATTCTAGACTGGAGAACTAAGTCTACTCAACCAGAACTCATGAAGCGTCAGAAAGATGGAATCCACCATGAGTTTGCCTGGGGTCATTTTAAAATCCAGTTAATCTAGAAATGCTACAGTCCAGAGTTTTCTGACTTTTTGGGGAAAGAATTAAAATTATCACTATAAAAATTATTTATTGTATCTTACTAAAAGATGGAGGAAAGTGGCAAATATAATGAAGAAAATATCAGCCGGGCTTTGGACTCTAGGGCTTCCTATTAACTTGCTTTCTTTGCATAGATGTAACAGTCTGCTTTCATTTAGTCCTAATGGAATACACCGCATAATGATGAAAAAGATTTATTTTTCCACTGAACATTCCTTTGGCCCTATTAGTTTCCTGCATTGTTTGTAGTTACCCGGTCAGGAATATGAACAGCTTATCAAAAAGCCACTTTAAGAATAAAAACACACAGCTCCAAAGAACTGGAGTCTAATCAATAAGTTATCCAAAATATTAAAAACCTTAAACCTAAAGGAAAATAGATCACCCTTTCTACATAACATCAATACCACTTACAACAAAATAACCTTAAGTGTACTTATCACATTTAATTTTTTTTTAAAAAAACCTAGGAGATGCGCATGTTCATACTTTGCAGTGTAGGAAACTGAGTCTCAAGGAGGTTAAGTAATATGCCCAGAGTCATAAAGTTAGTAAGATAAAGACACAAGACTTGTCTTCACGACTTTCTAACTAACCAGGTAATGATAAGGAAGCCACTGCAGGTGATCTTTCTACATCAGTGTAAGTGGCCACGGGCACAAAGACTACAAAACCAAGATCTCTCCAGTGTTCCCTCCCAGCTCCTTTCATGCCCAACACTGGAACCCAGTAAATTGTATTCAAGTTATTTTTTAACAGTTGATTGCTCAAGAACGAAAACAGCTTCTTCCCAGGTCTCACCTCGGATTCACAGTTGAACTCTCTGTACTATCTTCTATTACTCAATTAATAAATGAACAAATATTTTCTGAAGACCCAGAAACATAATATCATAAATCACCTTGTTTATAAGTGCCATAAAAATAGTATAGATCACTTATAACTTTAGTACCTGCTCCCAGAATGCTCTTACATTATAATACTAGTATAGTAGTATAATACATACTAGTATAATACATTATTGCACTTATTTACATGAAGGTCACTTTTACTAGTCTATGAGCTTTTGATACAAAATTCTGCATATTCCCCACTCAGTAGTGGACAAAATGTAAGTGTTCACCAAATACATGTTGAAAAAAGAAATGAATGAAATGATAGTGAGCTGAAACTTAAAGAACAGGTAGATTTAGAGAAATGGGGGAGGAAGAAAGAAGAAAGAAGAGCGAGGAGGGGGAGGGAAAGAAGGAGAAGGAGGAGGAGGAGGAGGAGCAAGGAGGAGGAAGGAGGAGAGGAGGGAGGAGAAGGAGGGCATTCCAACAAGGTGAATGGTAACCAGGCAGAATACTAATGGTGAAAAGGATAGGTCTGAGCAGAAGATTCACATGACCAAGCAGCGAAATGGTAAACTGGGGACCTGGAATTCCTGACTAGGGGGCTTAGGACTTTGTTTTCTAAGTTAGGACAGCTGTTTTTGAACCTTTATTTTTAATTCAGAGGAAAACTTTGTTTAAATTAAGCCCTATGTAAAACCTCAATATATAAACCAGATTTGTAAAAGCAAAGCAGTACCAGTGGAAGCAAGTACAGACCTGGTTTCCACCACTCAGTTTCCCCTCAGCTTACCCAACTTGAAAACTCCCTAAAACCCCTCCTCACAGTTTGAAAACCACTGGGTTAGAAAAAGGTCTCAAAGGACAGATACCAAATCTGCTCAAAGCATTTACCTGTGGGAACTGGGTTTGCCTAGATTTGGGAGGGCGTGTAAAGGAGGATGTGAAACACCATTTTCCCTTTTTTAATCCTGCACACCTTTTTATATTATTTGAACGTTTGTTTACATTGAACACTTTTTGTTTTTTAATTTAAGAAGTAACAAATAGAAGGAAACTATTGCACTAAAAAGTATTTTTAGTGGTTAAACTTCAACTGGATTGCTATATTTTAAGAAATAATTTCCTTATAGCAGGACATTTTCTTGACTAAATTACAATGAAAATGAACATCTTTATGCATAATTCTTTCCCATATTTAGAATTATTTCCATATGATACATTTATACAAGTTAATAGTTTCAATTTAGTTCTACAATGCACTGCTTAAAATAGGACTCTGTGGAACATAAAAATATAAAATTCAATGAGTATTTAAAAGCCATCCTGTATTAGCAAAATTTGATTCTAGCATTCTTTAAGATATATAAAATCTAACTAATAAAGCTAATTAGCAAAATTTCCACATCTCAAAAATATACTAAGATAAATTTGAATCAAAACTGAAATCTCTCTAC